TCTTTCCCTGTCCTTTATGCTTATGCATGTGAGTGCTATTATCTCCAATACAGAAACATCAAGGTGCCTCAGCAAAACTGCTGAGGCTGTCTGCCATCCTTACTAATTAACACAGCAGGCAAGAAAACACAGTGAGCAAGAAAATGAGAACAGGCAGGAAGATGCCATTACCATGTAATATAGTCTTCTCCTCTCCAGGTTTATCATCTTCTAGTTTTCCTCTCTTCTGCCTCTTAGCTGTTATTTCATCCAACTCTTTCTGTTCTTCCTGGAAAAATAAAACATGATCTTGACTTTTAAAAATTCAGCATTCAGAATCATACAACAAAATCCAGAACTGTACTACCATTTACTTGCTATTAAGACCACATTTATTTGCTAAATGAGATTAGAAATATTTCTAAGCATCAATAAAAAGAATATCTTCATCAAAACCAGAATAATTGAAAAAGCAATGTACACTGAAAATAATTAAATACTATCTTTTTATTTACAGGCTACAGCTAAGCATCACTACCTGAACAAGAAGGATGTTTTTTGGTGGGAGAAGGGGTTTTTTTTTTGGGTGGGGGGTGTGTGTAACTGTTTTTCTGGTTTTTTCTTGTCTTTTTTAAACAATCTTTACTTTCAATTCTTTTCACGCTGCTTCTGTTTATAAACATCTTTTAATCAGACTCTACACATTACACAAAAATACCATTAATTTTATTCCAAACAGTCCTGTAAATAATTCAATGCAGAATATTCAGAACACCTTATTTGGACATATCACCTGAAATGTTTCTATCACCCTAAAGCATAGCATGAATCTTCTGCTTGGAAAAACTACTAGTGCAACTGGATCTGTGTTAAAACCACTGCAATGTACTAACAATCAGTATCTATTGTGTTAAAGTAGTACTTACTTCTGATGGTTTGGCTACTTCTTTTTCATCAATATACTTTGCCCATGGTCCCAGAAAACCATCAATATTAGAGGCATCATTCTCCTTGAATTTCTTCCTTTTTTCAATTTTCCTTTGTCCTGTTTCAAACACTGTTAAACCTGAAGAAAGAAACAATGCACTGCCTAGCTGCTAACACAGAATACAACATCATAGGTCACATCATAGTCAGCTTAAAAGAAAAAAAAAAAAAACCAAAACCCACAACCCAAAAACCCCACCACCACTCCTTCCAATACACACAGCAAAATGGAAAAAGGATTTGAGAAAAATTGGCCAAAGCATTGCTAACTTTTCTAACTATGAACACTGCTAACTATGTACAGTAACAGAGGAACCACTTAAACTGCATGTCATGGTTTGTTAGAGTATTTAACCATGCATGTACTCATGCATTTTTAACAATAAGTCTGTGGACTGTACGAATACATCAATTTTCATACTTTAAATAGTGCAGTGTTTGAATGAGCGGAGTCCTAACAATTGGCTTCTGATCCCCCTCACCTCTCTCAGTTTCTAAAAAAATCCCCAAACCCCAAAATAAGAGTGTCTCCCAAAACCCCATGCACAACTGTGTATTTTAATTTAGTAAAAAGTCATAAAATCATAGAACGGTTTGTGTTGGAAGGGACCTTTATAGGTCATCTAGTCCAACACCCCTGCAGTGAGCAGGGACATCTTCTACTAGATCAGGTTGCTCAGCGCCCCGTCCAACCTGACCTTGAATGTTTCCAGGGATGGGGCATCTACAACCCTTCCAGGCAACCCATTCCAGTGTTTCGCCACCCTCATTGTAAAAAAATTTCTTCCTTATATCTAGTCTGAGTCTACCCTGTTTTAGTTTAAAGCCATTATCCCTTGTCCTATTGCTACAAGCCCTATTAAAAAGTCTGTCCTCACTGACACAGTCATCTACCTCCAACCACTATCTTGTTCTTTGATATAAGTGCTAGCTTTTCTGCGCCCTCAGAATTCCATTTGTCAAAGCCATTAAACAATATAGATATGGGAGGAGAAAAAATTAAAGTTAAAAGATGTTAATGTAATGACTCAAAAGTTTTTCAAAAGGTCATATACACAATTACGTGCAATTTTCAAACAGTGTTTTCCTACAGCATTAGTAATACTCATCTAGCGCAAAGGAGCCAAAAAGAGCTTTGTATAAGCAAGGGGAAATAGGCAATGTAAAAAATAAAAGTAATGATCATATGAAGGAATCATACATTAATGAAGAGTTTTCTTAAAATAAATTACTAAAATTCCATTATGAAAAGGTTTGGGGATTTTTTTGGTTTTGAAATGATTTAATCTTAGCCACTTCTGTCTAATGTCTGTAGCTGCTGTACCAAAATAAGTCTATTTTCTTTATCTTACTTTGGAAGAAAAGAGTGAAATAACCTTGGATATATTCCACAGAAGAGGACACAGAAATAAAGAACCTTTATATACACATGTGAATAAAATGTTGGAAAGAGACATGCAAGGGAAAGCATTACTGTAAAGTTTACACAGGTACAATTTTCAATGCAAATAAGTCACTTTGATACAAGATATTTAACACTCAAAGTATTAATTACAAACCCCATGCCTCTGGTAGTCAATTCTCCCAGTGGCACGTTATGCCTTTACCATTTGGCAACCTTCCAATGGTTTTTCTTTTCCAAATAAGCCAAACAGCTCAACTCTGCAAGCAGAGATAACATGCAATTCCCAACAGAATGCTAGAGGTTGCATACAGAGTGATCGGTTTGCTACCGAGTAGCATAGTGAAGGTGATTAGCCCAACATACAAGTATCCTAATGCAGACATATGACAATTTTAGCTAAGACAGAATTTAAGAGGACCAAAAAGCTCTGTTTCCAATATACAGATCAATTCTATACATGTAACGGCACATGCTAGGTTCCAATTACAAATCCTAATTTGAAATTTGACATAATGATAGCCTGAAATATTTGCTACTTTAGGAAAACAAAGTCCCCCAATCTCTCTCTTCCCCCTTCACATTACAATTGCAACACATCTTAATTTACTGTGTCTCTGGACATGGGTAATCTCTCATAATTCCTTTCTTTGCCGATACCTATTCCATTTCTTAGTGAAGAAGAAACAGAAACAGTCATCAGTTGCAAGTCATTTATATGAGATTCTGAATTATTTACCTTGATTTTTTTCAGCTTCTTCTACAGAGCCAATATATTTGGTAGCAACTTCAGGGTTATCTATAGAGGGATCTAATGCATAACCTAGATCAAGAGAAGAAATAAAATACTGTTATTTCAGGCTTTTTAGTTTTGTACAACTTTTATTATTTCCCTCCTCCCCCCAACACACTCCACGAAATTTTTTTTCCTGATGGCTCTCAGGGAGCTAGGGATGAGAAAGAGTTGATACTTTGAAATCCCATCCACTTTTCACTTGGCCTGAGTATTAAGATTACTACGAAGTCTTACCATGAGGCCCTTGAGTATGCATTGCTGCCAGAATGCTTAAATTTGCACAAGATAAAGAAGCATATAAGTATATGTCGTGGTTTAGCCCCAGCCAGCAACTAAGCACCA